CTCTCTCTCTCTCTATCCACTCAAGATCCAGTTCATTTCAGGTGACAAATCATGTTCTGATGTTCACTGAGGTCTGTCTGGGGGAGAGGGAGGGAGGGAGGGGGAGGGGGAGAGAGGAGGGAGGGGGGAGAGGGAGGGAGGGGGGAGAGGGAGGGAGGGAGGGAGGGAGGGAGGGGGAGAGGGAGGGAGGGATAAAGAGAGAGGTACATTAACCAGTTGCCCTTATGAGGTACATTCATGTGACGTTACTGTGGGTATAAAGTAGGACCTGAATCACATGTTCATTTCCCTGTGTCGCCTTCTGTCATATCACTCACTGTGTGTGTGTCTCTGTGTCTCTCTCTCTCTCTCTCTCTCAGTCTCCCTCACTATCTCTCTCTCTCTCTCTCCCCCTCCCTCACTATCTCTCTCTCTCTCCTCTCCCCCTCCCTCACTGTCTCTCTCTCTCTCCCCCTCCCTCACTGTCTCTCTCTCTCTCTCCCCCTCCCTCACTGTCTCTCTCTCTCCTCTCTGTCTCCCTCACTATCTCTCTCTCTCTCCCCCTCCCTCACTGTCTCTCTCTCTCTCACTGTCTCTCTCCCCCTCTCTGTCTCCCTCACTATCTCTCTGTCTCCCTCACTGTCTGTCTCTCTCCCCCTCTCTCTCTGTCTCCCTCACTATCTCTCTCTCCCTCTCTGTCTCTCCCCCTCTCTCTCTGTCTCCCTCTCTCTCTCCCCCTCCCTCACTGTCTCTCCCCCTCTCTCTCTGTCTCCCTCTCTCTCTCCCCCTCCCTCACTGTCTCTCCCCCCTCTCTCTGTCTCCCTCTCTCTCTCTCTGTCTCCCCCTTCTCTGTCTCCCTCTCTCTCTCTGTCTCCCTCTCTCTCTCCCCCTCCCTCACTGTCTCTCTCTCTCTCTCTCTCTCTCTCCCTCCCTCTCTCTCTGTCTCCCTCACTGTCTCTCTCCCCTCTCTCTCTGTCTCCCTCTCTCTCTCCCCCTCTCTCTCTGTCTCCCTCTCTCTCTCCCCCCTCTCTCTGTCTCCCTCTCTCTCTCACTGTCTCTCCCCCTCTCTCTCTGTTCTCCCTCTCTCGCTCCCCCTCTCTCTCTGTCTCCCTCTCTCTCTCTCTCCCCCTCCCTCACTGTCTCTCTCTCTCCCTCACTGTCTCTCTCTCTGTCTCCCTCTCTCTCTCTCTCTCTCTCCCTCACTGTCTCTCTCTCTCCCTCTCTCTCTCTCCCCCTCTCTCTCTGTCTCCCTCACTGTCTCTCTCTCTCCCTCTCTCTCTGTTTAGGTGTCAGACTCCAGGAGATTTGAAGTCCTGGCTTGGCTCGGGATACGTTTATTTTTCCGAGAGAGGAAACAAAAAAAAAGGGAACAAACAGCGTTTGAATTTGCTTAGAAGGAATTCAGGTTTCAGAGCGGTGAGTTCAAGAGAGAGAGAGCATTGAGATGGTTTCATCTGTGTGTGTGTGTGTGTGCAATATATATGTATATATCATACAAATATATATATATATCGTTGCGGAGAAGTAATTCCTTGTAAGTAAAGTGGTAGCAAACATAAAAACACCCACTGGATCAGTTTTGCTGCTCTCATGAGGCTTTTAAGAATGTTTTTTAAATGCACAATGCGAGTCCAAAGCGGCTTTGGTTCCTTGTTAAAGTGTGGATCTGCTTTCTCCAGGAGTATGTGTTAAAAGGGAATCAATAAGCTGCGCCCAAACCTGGACCGAAAGCTGAAGTGCAAACGGTTGCAGCTGGATTCTCGGTTTGGTTCGACTAGAAAACCCAGTGTTTTCTGGGTCTGCCTGTCCGTTCTCTCCCTCATGTCAAAAGAGATGTTTAAAAATAATTGTTCGGATTGTACACTGCAGTAACACATTTCTCTTTGTTATATTAGCCTGAGAGAAAGAGAGCGAGAGCGAGAGCGCGCGCGAGAGAGAGAGCGAGAGAGAGGATTCATTGTAGAGATGTTTTTCTCCCTCTCTTTCTCGGTTGTTATACATATTTCTTTGCGGTCCACGTTTTCCTCTCCTTTTTGCTGGTTGCTACGTTCATAACTGTATCAGTGCATCGCTGCTGAACGTGTGTTGATTAACTAACTGCATTCCAAAGCCATTTAGGGCAATGTTCGTACTCTTTTTTTTTTAACTGGGGTCTTTTGAGATGCTGCGAAGTTAACAAAAGCTCCTGGAAGGAGATGCTTTTAGCAAGTGAAACAACGTGCATTGACCCTGGCTGGTTAATATATAATTGCAAGAAAAATCCTGTGCCAACAGAGGATGGATTAGACCTTCCGACTTTCAACCCCCCCCCCCCCCCACCCCCCGCACCCCTATTCAGGGATTTGCTGCTGCAATCAATAGTTCTCTCACAATACAATTCAAAATGCTCGGTCAGATACATGGTGGATTTGTGGTTATAGAAGCAACATTTATTATCACCGGCATAAATTGGGTACAGAACTTTTCTTTGTAGCTGTACTTTGTATCCTGGTTGACTTCCAAGTTGTGGTGGTGGTAGGGGAAGCAAAACAATGATTTACATTTATACAGCGCCTTTTATGTGATGGGGTGTCTTGAAGTGTTTTACAACAACATTTATATAGCACCCCTCAGGCAGGGTAGCGTCCCAGAGCGCTTGACAGTGGTGGAGCACGAGGGGAGGGGCGAGATGACCGTAGGCCCGGTCGAAGAGGAAGGTCTTCAGGCGCGACCTGATAACGGGGAAGGAGTGGGCATGGCGGAGCAAGACAGCGCTGACTGGGCATCCAGGCTGCGGGGGGGTTAGGTGGGGAGAGGAGAGAGGAAGGTGACCGAAAGCTCGGTCAAAAAGATGGTCTTAGGGCAGGCAAAAGATGGGTAATTGCAGGAGTATGGATGATGAGGGAAATTAAGAAGCAGTTCGTATCTGCAATGCACTGTTGCAAATCAACATGTGTCCAATGTTTCAGATTACCGATCAGATTATGGATAGCGGACTGACTTCTCAATTCACCCATAATCAGAATTTCTTGTAGCTTATATTTGGTACATGCATCATACATTTTTCTTGTAGATTTCTGGATTTTTTTCTCTCTCTCTCTCTCTCTCTCTCTCTCTCACACTTTCCCCCCCCGTCCGTCCGTCCATTCCCCTCCCCGCCCACCCCCGCCCCGTCCCTCACACATACACAAAACAATATTGTAGGCGTTTCATTTTCCCCTGCACCTTTTAAATATTCATTCTATCAATTTACATGGATACCCGTTCATTCTACTTTACATGGATCAAAACGATGAATATTCTAAGCAGATTTTTTGTTGAATTCAGTCTGAAGTGTGTGCTGTGTTGGTGCATTCACTTTCAGATGTTGCGTTATGCTGTGAATGCCACTTTAATATAACGGGAGCTGATTTTGTCATACGCACCTCTTTCCAGTTCATAGAACCTGAAAAAAAATTCAGCTTCCCTGCTCTAAGATTAATAGGTGTTGGAGCTTGAATCGGTGGAAAATATCATCCCCGAACCTCTGTGATCATATCTTTACCTTTTCGATTCTAAATCCCCCACAAGTACAACGACAAATTGCATTTGTATCGCGCCTTTCACATCGGGTTGATGTCCCAAGGCACTGGACAGTCAGGGATTTGGACCCGAGCTGGGGGTTGGGATCAGGAGGGGTCACGGGCAGGAAGGATAGGGGTAGAAGGGTGAGCAAAGGCACGGTCGAAGAGGAGGGTCTTGAGACGAGCGAGGCCACGGGACTGTGGAACGAAGTCCAAAGGGACTTAAAAATAATTGGCAACGTTTTTTTGTTTAGATTTTAATGAATGGATTACATGGAATTTCATAGAATATTCACACAATAAATAGCAAGTTATTCTGCCCAACTAGTCTGTGCCGGTATTAATAATAATAATAATAATCCTTGCATTTGATATAGCGCTTTTCACGTCTTCTAGACCTTTCAAAGCGCTTCGCAGAATATACTGTAAAGTGAATTAATTCCTTCTCCCGACCTCACACCCTACCTCCCATATTTCTCTATACCCTTCTTCCTCATGCATGTTTTGAGTTCCCTCTTAAATGCTTTGACCACAGCTCCCAGCAGTGAGTTCCACATTCCTACCACCTTCTGCGTAAAGAAGTTCCTTCTGAACGTTCTTTTCCATCTGCTACTCGCTATCAAGCAGCACCTTGGCACATCGCCCCAACGTGAAAGGTGCTACGTAAATGCAACCTGTTGCTGCTGTACCTTGCAATCCCATACGAATTACATTTATACAGCCCCTTTCACATTCAGAGGATGTCTCACAGTGCTTTCGTTGCTCGCTGGGCACCCAAGCTGGGGGTGGGAGCTGAAGAGGCTGAGGAGGGGAAAGATGGTCAAAGAGCTAAGTCTTGATGTCGTCTCTTTCTATCATTTTGAAGTGGAATTGATCAAGCATTGTATTGTTCGCCCAGTAAAAAAGAATGTGAGTTGGGTTAGATTGTCGTGAGACTGTTAATTTTACCCTCCGTGTGGTTGCAATAGTATTATTGCAGTACGATCACAATTGCGACATCAAATCATCAGTTGGATGAAATTAACCTGTGGCGTGACTGCTTAAACCAACTCACATTGCCTATTAGAGGGTGAACAATCCAACTCTTCACGACGATAGGAAGAGCCGACATCAAAGGATCAAAAAGCGATGTCACTACGAACGCTTGACTGCCACAAGCCAGATACCCTGTGGTAAATCTCCTGACACCTCCGGCTTAAAACACCAAAAGCTACAAGGATCGTGGCTTTGGAAGTGGGGAGGGAGGGAGGGAGGGAGCGAGGGAGTCAGGGGACTTCAGGATGGAGTTCCAGAGAGCGGGCAAAACGGTTGAACGTTCACCCACCAATTGTGGCACGGATAGGACGTGGGACCTGAAACAGGCCAGTGTTGATAGAATCATAGAATTATACAGCACAGAAGGAGGCCATTCGGCCCATTGCGTCTGTGCCGGCTCTTTGAAAAGAACAATCCAATTCAATCCCACTCCCCCTCTCTCTCCCCATAGCCCTGCAAACTTGTCCTCCCAAAATAATTATCTACTTCTCTCTTAAAAGTGGTTATTGAATCGGCTTCCACCGCCCTTTCAGGCAATGCATTCCAGATCTGAACAACTCGCTGTATGAAAAGCTTCTCCTCACCTCCCCTCTGTTTCTTTTAACAACTATTTTAAATCCGTATCCTCGGGTTACCGACCCTCCCGCCAGTGGAAATAGTTTCTCCTTGTTCGTCCTATCGAGTCCCCTCATCATTTTGAAAACTTCTATTAATTCTCCTCTTAACCTTCTCTGCTCCAAGGAGAATAATCCTAACTTCTCTATCTCTCCTGATAACTGAAGTCCCTCATTCCTGGTGCCATCCTGGTAAATCTCCTTTCAGCGCCCTGGGACATCCTCCCAACATGAAAGGTGTTCTATAAATGTAATTTTGTTGTTGTTGTTGCACTCTCTCCAATGCCTTGACATCCTTCCTAAAGTGTGGTGCCCAGAACTGAACACAGTTTCTCGCTGAGGCCTAACCAGTGTTTCATAAAGGTTCATCATAACTTCCTGACTTTTGTATTCTGTGCCCCTATCTATAAAGCCTTGTATCCCGTATGCTTTTTTAACAGCTTTATCTCCCTGTCCTGCCACCTTCAAAGATTTACTTATATGACCCCCCAGGTCTCTCTGTTCTTTCATCCCCTTTAAGATTGTACCATCAGCTTATATTGTCTCTCCTCATTCTTCCTCCTAAAATGCATCACTTTGCATTTCTCCACATTAAACTTCATCTGCCACGTGTCTGCCCATTTTACCAGTCTGTCTATGTCCATTTGCAATCTGCTACTATCCTCTTCACTGTTTACTACTATTTCTAGTTTAGTATCAGCTGCAAACTTGGAAATTGTACTCCTTAAACCCAAGTCCAGGTCATTTATATAGATCAAAAACAGCAGTGGTCCAAATACCGCCCCTTGGGGGACACCACTGCACATTTCCCTCCAGTCAGGAAAACAACCGTTCATCACCACTCTCTGCTTTCTGTTTTCCAGCCAGTTCTGCATCCATGCTGATACTGTCCCTTTGAGACTGTGGGCTTCTATTTTGCTTACAAGTCTCTTATGTGACGCCTTTGTCACCTCAAGGCTGGACTATGGGAACTCTCTCCTCGCCGGCCTTCCCGCCACCTCCCTCCACAAGCTGCAGGTCATTCAGAACTCTGCAGCTCGTGTACTGTCCCGCACCAGGCTTCGGGACCACATCACTCCCACCCTCGCTCGCCTCCACTGGCTCCCCATCCCCCAGAGGATCGAATTCAAGATCCTCATCCTCACCTACAAGGCCATTCATGGCCTTGCTCCCTCCTACCTCTCCGACCTACTATCCCCCTACCTACCTGCCCGTACCTCCGTTC